CCTGCGTGGCGGCTGGTACTCGGTTGATAGCTCATGCTTGTGGACTGACCCTATCTCCCTTCCCCTTCCCTTTGTCTAATCTCCCTCCCTCCATGCCATCGTCGGCCCCCAGCCTTAACAGGCCTTTACAGAGGGAAGAGGGAGCCCATGAAGAGGAGCCGCACGGCCAATTTATTCAGGTCAGTCACTGCGGCCTCTCTAAATCCGAGCCCAGAGTGGGACGAGCTGCAGCCTAGCTCTGGCAGCCCGCGGTCTCTTTGGTTGTGCACCACAGTCCACGCCCAGCGGTCCATTCAGACCTGTCCAGGGAGCAATGGCTTGGGTCGAATGGAGAACGAATCCTTGGTGCTGGGCCGGCTGCCCCAGAGCGTGGCCAGGAAAGGGGGGCAGCTCAGGGCTACCTGAAGGGGCTGGCAGGAAGGCTGGCTGGCAGGACACACAGCTTTAACACAGAATTCCGCCTCCGTGGACTGGCCCTCTCTCCTGGCACTCCGGAAGGGCCTGGTGACATCATAGAGGAGCCCACAGCCCGAAAGGCTGAGCAGGGCTCCATCATTCTTCCGGGGCCGCAGGCGTCTGGTTGGTGAGGACAGAGGTGGCATGGTGGGCAGGAGCTCATAGGGAGTGGCGGAGGGCTCCTTCAGATCAAGCAGCACGAAGACCCTGGTGAGGCGCTCTCCAGTCCGGCAGTCCCGACGTCTCTGCAGCCAACAGTATTTCTGCTCCTCTTCTGCAGGGGGTGGGACGACAGAATGGGGACTTGGTCATTCCCTCACTTCTGCCCAACCTCCCCTCTTACTTACCCCAGCCACCCAGTTTCAAAGACTTAGAGCCGGAAGGGACCTTAGGAAGGGTCATCGAGTCAACCCCAATTGTACAGATGAGAACACAGGTCTTTAGAAGGAAGAGAATCAGGATTTGAGCCCAGGTCCTGACTCCCATCCAACAGAATTAATCCATAGTTCTGCTTTGGTCCCCCCGTTTTCCATGTAATTCAAAGTGCTTCAAGCCACACTTTTCTCATTCTATCCTCGGGATTTTCACAATATTTCTTTCTCTTTTTTAACCCCAGAGGCTCAGACCTCCATTTACACCTTTCTATGTGTCCTGGACCCCTTTGAAAGACTGGTGAAGCCTGTGAACCCCTCAGAATATCAAAGCAAATTGCTAAAGGATCACAAAGGGAGTCAATTATATTATCTTTTTACATCAGGTGCTCATGAGTAGGCTGAGCTAATATACTAAAAATGACAACTCTACCTAAGTTAATTTACTTATTCAGTGCCACACCAATCAAACTAACAAAAAATATTTTATAGAGCTAGAAAAAATGATAACAAGATTCATTTGGAAGAACAAAAGCTCCGGAATATTAAGGGAACTAATAAAAAGAAATGCAGGGGAAGGCGGCCTAGCCATTCCAGATCTTAAGTTGTATTATAAAGCAGCAATCATCAAAACTGCTTGGTACTGGCTAAGAAATAGAATGGTGGATCAGTGGAATTGGTCAGGTACACAAGACACAATAGTCAATTACAATAGTAATCTGTTTGATAAACCCAAAGTCCTCAGCTTCTGGGATAAGAACTCAATATTTGACAAAAACTGCTAGGAAAACTGGAAAAGAGTATGGCAGCAACTAGGCATAGACCAAAATAAAGTTGAAATGGGTACATCATTTAGATATAAAGGCTGATACTATAAGCAAACTGGGACAGCAAGGAAGAGTTTACCTGCCAGATTTATGGAGAACAGAAGAATTTATGACCAAACAAGAGATAGAAAACATTATGAAACGTAAAATGGATCATTTTGATTACATTACATTGAAAAGTTTTTGCACAAAGCCAATGCAATCAAGATTAGGAGGGAAGCAGAGAACTGGTAAAGAATTTTTACAACCAGCGTCTCTGATAAGGGCCTCATTTCTAAAACATATAGAGAACTAAGTCAAATTTATAAGAAGTCATTCCCCAATTGATAAATGGTCAAAGGATTATGAACAGGCAGTTTTCAGAGGAAGAAATTAAAGCTATTTATAGTCATATGAAAAAATGCTCTAAATCACTATTGATTAGAGAAATGCAAATCAAAACAACTCTGAGGTACCACATCACACCTATCAGATCGGCTAACATGACAAACCAGGAAAACCATAAACGTTGGTGAAGATGTGGGAAAACCGGAACACTAATGCATTGTTGGTGGAGTTGTGAACTGAGCCAACCATTTTGGAGAGCAATTTGGAACTATGCCCAAAGGGCTATAAAAACATGCATACCCTTTGACCCAGCAATATCACTTCTAGGGTTGTACCCCAAAGAGATCATACAAATGGGAAAATGACTCACATGTACAAAAATATTCATATCAACTCTGTGTGGTGGCAAGAATTGGAAATTGAGGGGATGCCCATTAGTTGGGGAATAGCTGAACAAGTTGTGGTATATGAATGCAATGGAATACTATTGTGCTATAAGAAATGATGAGCAGGTGGATTTCAGAAAAACCTGGGAAGACTGGTATAGTCTGATGGTGAGTGAAGTGAACAGAACCAGAACATTGTACACAGTTAACAGCCACATTGTGAGATGACTAACTTCGATAGACTTAGCTCTTCTCATCCATGCAAGGTTCTAAGACATCTCCTACAGTCTCATGATGGAAAATGGTATCCACATCCAGATAAGGAAGTTGGGAGTCTGAATGCAGATGGAAGCATATACTATTTGCTTTTTTTTTTCTTGTTTTGTTTCTTGTGGTCCCTCCTATTGGTTCTAATTCTTCTTTACAACATGACTAGTGTGAAAATGTTTAATAGGAATGTCTATGTAGAGCCTATATCAGACTGCATACAGTCTTGGGGAGGGTGAGAAAATTTAAAACTCAAAAGCTTTTGGAAGTGATTGTTGAAAACTAAAAATAAATTAAATTTTATTTTTTAAAACACCAATTAATAAAACCCAGATGACATCATCACCTCCATTTTATCTGCAAAATGAAGAAATTGGACTGCATGGCTTCTTGGGTCCAGGCCCTGGGTTCACATTTTAGGCTTTGTCTGTGAAATAGGATAATGACCAGGAACGCTCTTTTCTAGCCGGGTTCTGCTCCAGGCTAGTACTTAACAACTGTGAGCCACTGGGAGTCTCAGAATTATTTCAGGAGCTTCAGTTCCTTCTCCCAGCTCTGTTCCAGCGACCTCTGGTGCACAGTTCCTGAGGCAAGCTCCCTCTAGCTCCCCAGGCAGCAGTAACCCAGAGAGAAGCACGGTCCGGCACACTGCCCCCTAACCTAGGGACCGCCTGCCCTCTCGGCTTCCCTGGGCAGTACCAGGCTGTGGGTCCCGCCCCTTCCTTCCCGGGCCCCGCCTTACCTGCCCGAGCCTCGTTAAAGAGCACAGAGACGACGCCAGCTCCCAGTCTGGGCAGGACCCGCGTGGCACAACGCACCATGCAGGCGCTGACCTTGGGCAGTGGGGGCTGCGTCTTCCCCTCCTCCGGAGGCAAGAAGGGACTGCTGGACTCGAGACATGGTAAACCTTTGCTCCCAGTGGGTAGCACCAACACTAACAGTAGCCACAAGCAATCTCTGGCCATGGCAGCTACACAGGCTGCTTAAGGGAACCCAGGCTTTGGGGGCATGGGAGGTTCAGTTTAATCTAGAAAAAGAAACGCGTGAGGCCATTACTATTGGAATGTTGGGGCCAGCGGGGGGGAAGAGGTGCCTTAATCTCCAAAGCTCAGGCAGCCAGTGCCCAGCCCAGCGTCCTTCCACAAGACCTCAGAGGACCCCCAATTACCACGCCCCAAGACTCCTCCCCTGGCCCCAGCCCTGCCAGCTGCACAATGTAGCAAGCAAGTGCTGGCCTGGGCTGGAGTACTCTAGGGATGACAGACTTCTAAATGGAGCAAGCCACCTCAATGATGCAGTCTAGGCACTCCAAGGGCAAAATGATCTTTACAGAAGGGAATCAAGAATAGGATATGGCTGAATTGGCAGCACCAAATCAAGATGGAAGGTTATACATCTCCCCGTCCGACCCCCAGGTGACCAAACAGAAGGGATGGAACAAACTCTTAGAGAAATAAGACTTTTATTTGCAAAAGATAAGGTGATGCCCATTTCCTTTTCACAGAATGCTTCAGCACCACTCGCAAGCTGGGCGTTCTGACAGTGCACTCCATCTTCTCACGCTGCAGCTCCTTCAAGAGAAAAAAAAAAGGTCATTCCAGAGGGTGCTCTCCCAATGGGACGGAAGGCAGACACAACCAAGACGCAGTCTAAAGGTCCCTCAGACAGTTCGCTCTGAACAGAGTTTCCTCCTGCCTCCCAGCCAGCCCCAGTGGGTTCAACCTTTGCAGGTTCTGGGGCAAGGTCAAGGAGTAAGACAGGTGAAGTCTTCCTCATTGGGATCCTCACTGACCACTCCCCAGACCCCAGGCCACTTACCTAATTTCTGGAGTTGATGCAAGAGGACTGAAGACTGCCTCCCCTGCAAAGGGCAAGAGGACGCATGAAAAGCTGATCACATGGTTCAGAAATACCCTTCAGTCACCACAATCAGACTGGGGCAGAATCACATATTTTAAAAATCTTCCATCTCTACCCTCCCCTAAACTTACCTACTCAAGTTCCTTTGCCACACCAGCACCACAAAGAACCAGCCTGCGGAGGAAGAACAGTGAGCCCGGTCTTTAGATGTCTAAGATGATGGATGCCGGGTCCCAGGGGCCTGCTCACCACTCAGAACAACCTATCAGTCACAGGAATCAGACTGGGGCGGTATTCATCTCATCACAGGTGGAAGCAGGCCCCAGGGGCAGGAGAGGGAGGGCGGGACAGGGCAATGAGGTCGTGGGCCTAGAAAGCTTTGTAATGCAAGCTCACCTGCAGCTATGGACTCCATGTCAGGCAGCCAGAGCCTGCAACTTTAAAAAAGCCAAGAGTGAGTTTGCTCCTGTACCTCCCCAAGGCCAGGGCTGCACCAGTGGCCCTTTCCTGGTCAGATATGCACATCTCAACAGGGGGGTTCAGACGAACGAGATTCTATGAATGCATCACGTCAGGAGGCCTAGCAAAAAACTCTACTATCCAGGGACACCCCATCTTAATGGGCCCAACCACGTACTTACATAGCAGTAAGTGGCCTCACAACCTGCCCATGGCAGTCTCCTTCAGGCAGCTCTTCAAAGGACCTATGGAAAGAATGGGTCATCAGTCAAATGGCTGCCCCCGCCCACAGGACCCTCATTTCCCCTTGGCACAGTTTCTCAGATGTTCAAGCCTTTTCATTTTACATAAATCATAGTGAGCTAGTTAGACTCATCACTGAAACTGCACCCAAGATGTTCTCAAAAGACCAAAATAAATCGATTAAATAATCAACTCACCTTTGGAGAAGCTACTAGTTGATGGAAAGCAGGAAAACTGGTGAAGCCTAAAACAGAAATTATGGCAGATTAAGCAAGCCACCTCCTCCCAATCAATGAGCCTCTGGAAAGGCCGAGTACTGTTATGTGTACCTCAGACAGTTCCTTCTGAACAGGTCATCCTCCTCTCCCCCAGCTAGCCCCAGTGGGTTCACCATTGCTGGCTCTGGGGCCAGGACTGGGGTTAAGACATGCTTCCTTTCCTCATTGGTACCAGGGGGATCCCAAAGCCAATGAGTTGCAAACAAAGTTCACTTACCACCATCTTCTCAGTCTGGTGCAGCACTGGTCAGCATTCCCCTGACAAGTGAAATATCAGCAGGTCAGGAAATGCCTTAAATAAGGCTGGCAAAGGGAACTCTGCAGGCCTCTATGGTTGATCAGGGCTTTGGTGACTCAAAAAATGCCATAAGACACATGTCGTCCATTAGGTAATGGGCTGTACCCGCATCATCAATTCAAACCAAGGGTTCACAGGTATGCAAGAAAATGGCAGTGACTACGAAGAACTTACTTATTAAGGAGAAAGGTGAAGGTGGCACGGTTCAAGGAGATCTGGGAGAGAGGGAGGGAAATGGGTGGGTCAGAAGGACCAAGGCTGATGCAGAAACTGTCCAACAGCAAGAGCTGCCATCAGAACTCTAACATGCTATAAGAATGATGGGTCCTCACAGAGGTTCAGGAAGTAAGATTCAAATCATCTGACAGGCGCTAGCAAGTGAGTGAGGCTCCCTTCCCCATGGCTTCCCAGAAACCCCCAGGAGGAGCCAGGGTTTGCCCTCTTGTTTCCGAAGAAGCCAGAGAGGACACTCTACTCCAACCCCAATCCGTCTCACAATTACCTGTAGCGCGTTCAGGTTATGTCCATTGGGAAAAGGAAGCCTAGAGAAACAGGAATAAGATGGTTTCTTTTTTGGAACAATGCACTTGATTTCTTTCTAATAGAAGCCTGCCCACCTCTCAGAAGAAAAAATGACATCAAAAATACTCAGTCATATGCTTGTCACTGAACATTCATCACATTGTGGACAACACCAAGTTTAAAATCCTTCTCTCCTATACACACAAAAACGTGTATTTAACACCACATCTGCACAGAATTATGCTCAGTGAATGACACTTACCAGAAGCTCTATCGCCAGGCTAGGCTGAAGGATTGTCAAAGGTCTGCAGCATCGGCCATTGGCTGAAGACAAGCAAAGCTGGCCTCCATCACCAGGACGGGTCTGCCTGGCATTCCGGCCCAACACCGACCTGAGGGAGAGGAGAAGAGAGGAGCTGGGTGGTTTTCCTTGCAGAGCCATGCTGTGGTTAACATCCTAGCCTTCCCAGAATCCTGGCACCTCCCCACCCCGAGATCACTAAGCTTCACTGCCAGGTGCAGTCCCAGAAGCCCCCCAGGCCGACAATTCATGGCCCCACGTGCCAGCCTAAGGGGTGCCCAACTGCGGCCGCTCCTTGGCCCTTGGGCGAGGCTACTCAGGACGTATTAGCTTTCTCCACTGACCCATCAGAAAGAGAGAATTCCAAGTCCAAATCATCCTCGTAGCTCGCCCCAAGGTCCCCCGGGCCTCCCCCGCGCGGGTGACCCTCACTCACCGAGGCACTGGGGGGGCGGGGGCCTGGACGGCGCTCTCAGCCACGGGCGGCCTGCAGGGAGGAAGCGGGGTCAGGGGGGCTCTGCACCCCCAGAGGAGCCGGGGCCCGTGGGGCGCAGGCCCCTCCTCAGAAGGTGTTCTTGTCCTCACACAGCGTCAGCACAGGTCTGTGAAAGGTTTCATCACCGAGGGCCCGCCCCCACCGCTCCCGGGGCTTCCCTTGGGTCACCAGAGTGGATGCGCCTGAGAGCAGGCCCGACACTGGGCAGCCAAGTAAATACTGGCTGCCGACCAGAGGCGCAATGCCAGCGGCCCCTGCCCTCCCCGGGACGCGCGGTGCGCGCATGCGCGCTAGGAGCTCGGGGGGGGGGAAGGGTTCCGCCGCGGCCCCAGAGATCCCCCGAGGAGGGCCGCTGGTTCTGGCGAGGAAGTCGTTAAGAAGTGGGAACGCTGGGAGCGCCGAACGAAATTAGTTTACAAATCGGCTCTCCTTCACCTCCCCACCCACCCAAAACCCAACAACGTTTCACTCACCGCCGGCGACAAAAGAGGGCGAACGAGCCGAGGCGAGGGACTTAAATATGGGCTCGCAAGGGCTCATGGGATAGTGGAGGCGAGGGAGGGAGCGGGAAGGCGAGGCGCATGCGCACCTGCTCCTTCTCGGCGTGAGCGTTCGGGGCCGCAGGAGAGAGAGAGAGAACAAAGGGAGATGGCGGGAAGCTCGCGCCGAAGACACCTACGCCGTCGGGCTGGGGTGGGGAGGGGCGCGCGCGGCCCCCCTAGTGCACGGAAACGCGCATGCGCGCAGGTCGGCCGGCCCGCGTGCCCGCCTGACGGCCTGCGTGCCCGCCTGACGGCCCGCGTGCCCGCCTGACATGCGCAGGAGGGCTCGGCGGGGGCGGCTGCTGGAGGTGGAGGCCGTTATGGATCGCAGGTCTCCGTCCCCCCAGCTCAAGTTCGGCCTCCCCCGGCCGCGGGCGATCGTGCGCTTCCTGGGCCTCTGGGACCGGGACTCCAGCGCCCGCGGCTCAGGTACTTGGGCCCCGGCGGGGGGCGCGAGGCAGCCCTCGATGGGCACGGACCGAGGTCGGGCGCCGACGCGGAGCCGGGTTCGAGCCGTTCCGCCCCGTCCACCAAGCGCTTGGGCCTCGGCATGCCGGCCCTCTCCCGGCCCGACACGCAGTCTCCACCCTCCCGGCCTTTGTCCAGGCCGTGTCCCCCAGCTCGGCAATGCCGTGCCCCTTCGCCTTGGCCTCGGGAGCCCATTGCAGCCCAACCCACGTGCGCTGATAAGGGGCCTACTATGTGCCGGTGCTGGGGAAACCGACATGCTATTTCTTGCCCTCGAGAAGCTTACCTTCTAGAGAAACAACAGGTGCACCCGTAACTAACAAAGAAAAGTCAGGAAGCAGTTTGTCGGGGTCTTGGACCGAAAGGGAGCGTCCACACCTGCCTGCCTGCCCTCGGAGGGTTCCAGTTCTACGGCACGAGGGGTGGGGGGCTACGGGGGCACAGAAGTAAATACAAGATGAGTCAGGAGCAAGTTCGAGTAGGGCCAGGGCCGACCCCAGAGGCGGCCTGTGGGAGGTGGGACTTTGTAGGAGGCAGGGATGGGGAGGGTCCGAGGCTGGCTTTTCCCCCCGAGACCCCCTGACTCTTCCACTGAGCCACACTGCCTTCCGTGTCCTTCCGCAGGCTTAAGACCTCAGGTCATCCTCAGCTCTCCGCTATCTCCCATCCCCCACATCTCAGGTCCTGTGGATTACAGCTTTGTTGCGCCTCTCCTCCGGGCCCTCACCTGGATGGTTGCATTGCTGTCCACTCCAATACACCTTCACCTGTTAAAAGGACCTCCCAAGGGGCAACTAGGAGGCACAGTGGATAAAGCATGGGCCCTGGAGTCAGCCTCAGACACTAACTAACTGTGTGACCCTGGGCAAGTCACTTAACCCCATTGCCTCACCAAACAATAATAATAATGATCTTCCTAAAGCCCAGGTCTGACCATGTCACCCCTCTACTCAGTAAACTCCATTGGCTTCCAACTGCTTCCAGGATCAAATAGAGAAAACTTCTGTTTGGCTTTTAAAGTCCATCATGACCTGGCCCTTCTCACCTTTCCATTCCAAGTGCTCTGTGATGCAGTGACCTGCCTCTGGGCTGTTCCTCAAACTCGGCACCCTGTCCTCCTCACTCCATGCATTTTCACTGGGGGTCCTCTTGGAATACGCTGCTTCCTCATCTCCTGGCTTATTTCAAATCCCACCTTCTCTAGGAAACCTTTCTTAACCCCTCTTCCCTCTGAGACAGCTGCAGTTGATCCAGTCTATATGACTTTTCTGCACGTGTGCGCCATGTCTTTCCCATTAGATTGGGAAGAGCAGCAACTGTCTTTTTTGCCTTTCTTTGTGTCTCAGGCACTTAGATCAATACCTGGCAGATAGTATTTCCTTAACAAATTGTTTGACAATTTGAATTGACTCCATCTCTAAGATGAGATTCAGAAAGTTGTAATTACCAGACCTCTCTTTTCACCCTCTCTTCTAAACCCTCTGCAGTCTGGCTTCCAGCCTCATTATTGAACTGAACCTGGTTTCTCCACCATTTCCAATGACCTGTGGCGTTTAAAAAGGTTGAGAGACATACTTTCTGGGTAATTTAATAATTGTATTAATAATGCCAACATTTTAATAGAAGCATGGTCATTTAGCCATCTCTTTCTTAACAGCAAAGGTAAATCATGTTGGTGGGCTCACAGATTATATGTCCATTACACCCCCACCTCCATCAACTTTGATTGGTTAACAATTAATGAGAGAATGAAAACTACAATTCAAATAAACTTTGATTATGTTATTTACTTCTAACTTATCCCCAGCATTGGGCAATCTATTCAAAGAACTTATTCCCACCCAAACCTGAGGACGGTAAGATGGCTTCCCCACCTGGGGTGGAACAAGATGGTTAAGAAAGTTAGATCTGTCTCATGAGTAGTGTCTTTCAAGAGACTAAACTTTTGAAATCAGGACTTTGGAGAA